TATATATATATATATTTTATTATTATTTTTTTTTTTTAAAGCTGCCAATGATTTTCATCCAATCTTGCATGACAAGCTTTGAAAGCTCAAAGGAATCAAACAGTAACTTAGCTGTGAGGTGGTTAGCCTTCCTGTTATCAGCTGCAGTTAAGTTTCCTGTTCAAACTAGCAGCCTCAGAGCTACATAGACATACCTCTGCACATTTTTATTTTTTTTTAAATAAAGCTCCTTTGGCATTTTTGTGTTTTTTCTTTTTTCTTGACTTCATTTTAAATTTTTCATTTTTAGGGCTGTTATTAATGAGGTTTCCTTACTTTCTACCCTCAGAAATTAGCGGTAGGATGAAGAGGAATATTTTGCCTTTTAAGGGATGTGTGAAAATGGCAACACCTGAGACAGTGATAAAAGTACATAACTGTACTCCATCTGCTAACACATTTATTTCGGTTTCACATACTTTTGTATATAGTTGCTTAGCAAACAGGGATGTCCTTGCGACAACTATTTGTTTTAGTTCTGGAAGTCAGCGGGAAACCACATCCACTCCTCCTGTCCTCAGCATATTTCCAAATTCAGATCTTTTGTAATCTAAAATTCTGATGACTTGTTAATTCACTTGTTGATAGACTTGATAATGGTGGTGGTTTTTTCTATCATTGCCTGTTGGCTCTGGTTAACATTCCAAAGCTAAATGGTGGTAATTTTACTCTCGGAACACTGGACGCTTTGATTTGGCATCTTTGTTAGTTCACAACCTAAGCTCAGTCTAAAGGAACATTCATTAAATCAGGGGTGCTTGTGGGGTAATTATTTTAACAATCTAATCAGTTTTCTAAAGAAATCTGATTGGTTTTCGTTATGATTGTCTAAATTTCTTGTTTTTGTTCATTTTTTCCCCCAAATATCCTTATGGTCAAAGTGAAGCCATCCCCAAATTGTTCTGTTTAGAAAGCTTACATTTTTAGCTTAGGTTAAATCTTTAGCGCTTATTAAGAAAGCAGTTTGGATTCTGGTGGCACACGTTCCTTTCTTTCCTTGTCCAGCCTGCAGGCACGGTGGAGGACGGAGATGACTGTGATGTCAACACACAGATGGTGGTGCAGGGCCCTCATGCAGACATACAGATGGCACCTTTTTTTTTTTCAAACTATCCTTGTCCAAACAATTTTTCATTCCCTCTGGCCTTAAGGACAACAAAACATAGGGCACTAAAGTGTGAGGATGAGGTGGTTGGTTTGTCCATGACCTCCAAATCTCCCACCTCATCTTGACATGCCATGATTGCTTTTAGATTTTAAATTTAATTTAAAACCAAAACAGAATAATTGAGGTAAAAATTGTCTGAACTCCCGACTAGGTCTCATGCTCCTCTTCTCTTATTAAAACATCTGCTAGCACACAGAAGTTTTACACCAAACCTTTTGGGTGTTCTGGAGAGTATAACGTGAATGTTAACCCATTCCAGAACCGTGAAGCAGTTGAAACTATATGGATTTTCGGGCAAACTATTCCTACAATAACAACACGGAATGGCTTGCTTTTTGTCTTTTTAAAGCAATACATTTGGAGAGAAGGATGTGAGCAAGCATCAAGGTGGATCACAGGTTTATAGGTAAATGGGTATTGAAGAGAAGCAAGAAGCTACATTGCTGATAGCTGACGTACAGCCTTCAATGTAGTTCACAAGGTTAGTTTTAATATGTATTAATAGGTCAAAGCTACAGGCTTATATAGGTATCATTAAATATTGCTTACTTCCACAAAGTCTTTTGATTTTTCTCCATATTCCAAAACATTTTTCTTCTTCCAAGTCTCCTAATAAACAATATAAAGCTAATGGCTTTCCTGTCTTCTCAGTGTTTGGAGCTGGTCATGTTACAGTAAACAATGGGCTGCTCTTCCCCGCCAAAATCCCCCCACTTCAACAAGCAATAAAAATTCATTTCATTTTTACGTCACAGAAAAGGATTTCTAAATGTATGTTGGAAGTCATTTGGTAAATGGTATTCATGCTATTTCAATATGTGCACATTTTATTTCTTTTAAACTTAATGTTTTATGCATATGTTGCTATAAAACATACCTCTCTAATACGGTGGATCATTGTGACAAAAACAGAAATGAAATGTTGACAGAAAAGAATAAAGCCCCTGTGTAGTATCTATTATACTGGCAATATAATGAGTTGATCTTTCTGACATCTTGAAGATGAGCCGGGCCTTTATGTTCTCAGAAAAAGTTCAGCTACATGACATGAACAGGTGTATGTATTATAAAAAGTAATTATCATTTAACATCAACATTGTCCCTCTTTCTTATACACTAGATAAGAGGATTGTTGATTTAAAAATATGTATAGTTGGGAAATCGGCTAAAAAAACAAAAACAAAAAAAACCTCAGAGCTTGAATCAGTAGATTAGACATCAACAATGATGCCCCACCAGTGCATGTTTGTCCATGTCCAGGAGAAAATCTTTGGAGTTTAAAGTAGAG